CAGAATAAGGTTGAAGTTTTTATCACACGACGGTCTCTTACAATGCAGAATGAGCGCTCTCTCAGGGTGACAAGGGTGAGACGCCCCTGTATGTCTCCTTATATCCTGCTGTCTCTCTCACCCCCCCAGTATGTCTCCGGATAGTCTGCTGTCTCTCTGAGTGCCCATTTGTGACCTGCATGTATCTATGTGCATTCACACGGCACGCTGGCGTGACCACCGCTTGTCTTGTTTGCAAGATCCCTCCAAGATGTGCGGTGTCTGCATGAGTGTGGAGAGAAGGAAAACATACACTGATGCCGGAGATCGGCTCATCCCGAATGTTATATACTCGACATGACACAAACACAGCAGGGATATGGAATCAAAGAAGTTATATCCTATCTATCTATCTATCTATCTATCTATCTATCTATCTATCTATCTATCTATCTATCTATCTATCTATCTCTATGGTTTTAGACATTCATGTAGTAGATTATACATGTCACGAATGCTCATGTGTGGATGGATACTGATAGATACACTTTGTTATGTAATGTGTACTTTCATATAGTAACTGGAAGTAATTTTTACCTGCTCTGCCATGGAGGTTCCATGAGATCCTCTACCGTGTTGCTTACCTGCATTGATTGCATTCTGTGCTCCTCCCATGGGGTGAAGTCTGGTCATCGAGGCTTGAAGCCTTCTTTATTTAGTATGTTTTACTCACCGGCACATGTCCGGTGTCATTCTGTATCCTCTGTACTGATCGGCACATGTCCGGCGTGATTCTGTATCCTCTGTACTGATCGGCACATAATTGGTGTTTTTCTGTTTCTTCCATACTGACCGGCACATGTCCGGTGTTATTCTGCATCTTCCGTACTGATCGACACATGACCGGTGTTATTCTGTATCCTCTGTAATGATCGGCACATGTCCGGTGTTATTCTGTATCCTCTGTAATGATCGGCACATGTCCGGTGTTATTCTGTATCCTCCGTACTGACCGGCACATGTCCGGTGTTATTCTGTATCCTCTGTACTGACCGGCACATATCCGGTGTTATTCCATATCCTCTGTACTGATCGGCACATATCCGGTGTTTTTCTGTATCTTCTGCACTGACCGGCACATGTCCGGTGTTATTCTGTATCTATAGTACTGATCGGCACATGTCCTGTGTTATTCTGTATCTATAGTACTGATCGGCACATGTCCGGTGTTATTCTATATCCTCTGTACTGACCGGCACATGTCTGGTGTTATTCTGTATCCTCCGTACTGACCGGCACATGTCCGGTGTTATTCTATATCCTCTGTACTGACCGGCACATGTCCGGTGTTATTCTGTATCCTCCGTACTGACCGGCACATGTTCGGTGTTATTCTGTATCCTCTGTACTGACCGGCACATGTCTGGTGTTATTCTGTATCCTCTGTACTGACTGGCACATGTCCGGTGTTATTCTGTATCCTCTGTACTGACCGGCACATGTCCGGTGTTATTCTGCATCCTACGTACTGACCGGCATATGTCCGGTGTAATTCTCTAGGGGCCAGAATAAAGAAGAAACATTCACCTGATCCTCGGTTCTGCGGCACTGACAGCTCCCCTCTCTCCTCCTTTTGTTGTGGAAAGTCCCTCTGAGCCAATAGACGTGTATTAGATGTAAAGACATCTTGGGTCCTTAGACCACCAGAGCCTGGGGGAGAAGAGGCTGTGGGCAGCGGTCTAGTAACCAGGCAGGACCAAGGATTGGGTGAGTATTAGGGATGCACCAATACCGGTTTTTCGGTATCGAGTATTTTTATTCTTTTTATATATATATAAACCAATTTTTTTTTTCCTCGGTACTCGCCGATACCGAATACCGATACCGGAAGTCCCCTTTAAGGAAGCCGGCGGCATGTAATGACTCGCCACCTGACTTCCTGATTAGCCAGGAAACCGTCACCATTCACCATTCTCCCTCTTCACATGGAGCCGGCTTTCTGGACAATCAGGAAGGCGGGCGATGAGTAATGACTCGCCGCCCGGCTTCCTGATAGCGGAAGTTCCGCTATCGGGATAAGTATCGGGAGCATTTGTGGTGAGTACGAGCCAAATACTCAGCATCGGCACCGATACTAGTTCCGTTGACTTGCATTGGATATGAGGTAGCTGAGAGACATTCCATAGCCGGAGTGGGAGGGGGAGACAGGTGAGCGCCGACCCCTGCAGGACTGAGGATCAGGTAAGTAATACAGCTTAACCCTCGCAGTGCCAGGATAGCCCCACTACAAGGGTGAGTTCTTTTCTTCATCCGGAGTTCTTCTTCAAGGTCCCCTCTTGCTTGGCCTGTTGTCAATGTGTGATCCTCCTTATCGCCCTCATTTTATGGTTTGTGATTCCGCAGAGGTCGGTGACATTCTTTTATTTGAATTCGGTTTCATTTTTTCTGATCATTCCGTGTTCGGTGTTTTGCTATTATTATTTTTTTTGGTTGTCGATGTTCTGTAACTTCTGATCTTCCATCGGCCGATATCGACTATTAACGTGAGATCTCCCTGTGCCGGACACCGTCCTGTTCCCTTCCACCGACCGGCATCCACGGCTTTTGTGAATCGGAATAATTTGAGGCAACGTCTCACTTACCATCAAAGGCAGTAAATTTCAATAAGTGCCCACAGGATGTCACCCTACCTCCTCTGACTGTCAGGGTGTTTGCTGGATGTGTGTGCAGTACGTCGGTGTCTCGGCGCGCTGCAATCGCATATTATATATGTTTGAAACAACAATTGTTGATTTGGACCTATAGGGGCTCTGCATGCGAAAACCTTCATTTATATTGTTTCCTTATTCATCCGGTCCTATAATATCGTACAATTCTTAGCAAAGAGCCGTATACTAAGCTCTCTATGCGATGTGGGAGCCTGTGTGATGCCGCACGCAATCACGCATCGCATGTTGCAATGCTAGGGGTGCTGCCCTGCCATTATTTCTTCATGGCACCTGCCATTGCATGTGCATTGCATTGCACCGCTTGCATGGTAACTGATTACCTTGCATTGTGGTGCAATGCGGTTTAAAAAAAAAAAGGTGCATACGCTACTTTGAGTGCGACTTAGCCGTGGTATGTATTAGGGATGCATCGATACCGATACTAGTATCGGTATCTGTGCCGATGCCGAGTATTTGGGGCGAGTACTCATATTCGCACAAATGCTCCGATACCTTCCCCCAAAACTTGAGCTTCCGGTATCAGGAAGCCGGGCAGCAAGTCATTACACGCTGCCCGGCTTCCTGATTGGCCGGGAAGCCAGCTCCATCCTCCCTCATCATTTGTGACTAGGGAGCATGGAGCCCGCTTCCCGGCCTATCAGGAAGCCGAGCAGCGTGTAATGACACAGCGCCCAAACACAGCGCATTCCATTGCATTTGCATTGCATCGCACCACATTGCATGGTAACCGATTTACCATGCGTTGTGGTGCAATGTGATTTTAAAAAAAAGGTGAGAGCTCAGCCGCCAGAATCCCTTCCAGTGTAAAGGTGACAGTCCCAGGAATAAATCGCAGGAGCTTCTTTGGGGCGTATTTGCAGTGCGTATCCATTGGGATACAGCCAGGTAGCCCTCGAAAACGCGCGTTTGTTGCACGTTTTTTACCGCGAATCACGGTGAAAACGTGCGGCACGAAACACGCGACAAACGCGCATATTCTATACGCCTAAGTGTGAACCCAGCCTTAGAGTCACCAAAACTATGTAAAGTTTCTCCAAAGTTAAGAAAATCCTCTGTTAGTTTTCACCGGAACAGACTTCCTCAGTGGAAGATTTCCCCGGACGCCGGAGCCTGTAGAAGGGGTGAAACTCCCCGTCAGTAACACAGACAACAACAAAATAATGACAGAGGTTGTGTAACCCTTCCAAAGACTACACTTTACAGACACTGCAATACTTTCATGTACCTATTACGGCACAGCGCTATCAGGATGTAAACAAACCGGTGTTATGGTTTGGCAGTATCAGCATGTAAACAATTGTAGGTATTACGGCATAGCATTATCCGGATGTAAACAAACCTACGTATTACAGTGTGGTGCAGTGATATCAGAATGTAAACAAATGTTGTTGTTATGACACAGCAGTGTCAGGATTTTAACAATTGTAGGTATCGCGGCACACCAGTATCATGATGTAAACAAACCTAAATATTAGGCCTCATTCACACTGCTAAGAGGAAACAAAAAACGACTCTTGTATGAGGACAATGTTCGCTTATCCCGGAGTTCAGCTTTCAGAAAACTGTATACAGTGAGGCACAATTCCAAATACAGTGAGATTTTGGGGTGTACATACCCTTTAAATGTATTGTGCTGGGAGGATCCGGACGAAGTATTGCTGAGTCTTTATTTCTAGGGTATGATAGTAGCTTGCTATGGTCACTGCTCTAGCAGCCTGTGTGTATATATACAGGTGAAACCCGAATAATTAGAATATCGTGCAAAGTTCATTTATTTCACTAATGCAACTTAAAAGGTGAAACTAATATATGAGATAGACTCATTACATGCAAAGCAAGATAGTTCAAGCCGTGATTTGTCATCATTGTGATGATTATGGCTTCCAGCTCATGAAAACCCCAAGAACCCCAAATCCACAACCTCAAAAAAGTAGATTATTACATGCAATCAATAAAACACGGATTGTACATAGAACAATATCGGACCTCTGAAAAGTACAAGCATGCATATGTACTCAGTACTTGGTTTGGGCCCCTTTTGCAGCACTTACTGCAATTACTTTTGCATGATATTCTAATTATTCGAGTTTCACCTGTATATCTCCCTCCATGTACCTGTGTATTCAGAAACAATATGGAGACACAGTTATCATTGCACTCGCCGTGTCACCATCACGTGTATGTCTACACACAAACGTTGAACAGACTTTAGATTCCTAATATTGATTATCCGTTCGGTGTGAATGTTATCGATCGATATAGACTGAGGAAATGTGTTTTTTTTTCCTGCAGATGCTCGAGGACCCCCCATGCATCGAATGCCCTATGTCACCTCTCCGTACGATCGGCCAGCTTGGAATCCACGATACTGTGTCATCTCTGGAAACCAGCTTCTTATGCTTGATGAGGAGGAGGTGAGATGCTTCCTTTCATATGAACGTGTTATAAAACATCCTGTTGGGCGAGTCCACGCTCTTTCCTATGGATCGGTCGTTTCCTGGGCTGGGATCTTGGTGCCGTTGCGCTTTGAATCCCGTTGTCTTGTGTTGTGAAGGCCTCTGGTGCAGGACAAGATGCATACAACGTGGAAGGGGTTAAAGAAGAACTCCGGGTTGTAGAAAAACACTTGCACTGAAAGGGTTAAGTGCTTGTTGAGGTGTAGAGGAGTAAACTCAATCCTCGGTCCCTCTTGGATGCTAGACCGGTCCCTGTAGCTTCTCCCCCGCGCTCCAGCGCTCTAAGGACCAGTGATATCATCACATCTAATACAGTCTATTAGGCGTGAAGACGCCAAGGTACATGCCAGGGGCGTCCCGAGGCCGGGTGTCACCCGGTCTTTAGACCGGGTGAATGACTGAGTGCCCGACTTTTTAGAGGGGGTGACACCAAAATAACTGTCAGTCACCTGGGTGCGGCCCCCACACCCCCTTTGTGACGCCATGGGACATACCATAGCCGGAGTCGATGGGTCACCACCGCAGGACTGAGGATCAGATGATAATATCTTCTTTATTTTTGCTCCTAGACCTAAATGAGCAGTTAACCCTTGCAGAGCCCACCTCATTTCCTGGTTGGAGGACATCTAGCATGAT